GCAAACTAACATTCATTATCGTACTTACGTACTTTCAACCATTTAACATATGTAAAACTGCGCTACCTTTTTATTAGGTTCCTATCTTTTTCAACTTGTCTCAAGAAAAGTTTTTAAGTACTGTGTCTTTATTCTCACTTTTCCCATTAGTCTTTTGATTTTTACTGCACAAACATATTTAGTTATTTTATAACATGTTATAGTATAACTGACTACATTACTGTTTGAAAAAAAATTAATCAATGACCAACACATGTTTTTCAAAAATAACATATAGGCAAGTCTACATGACCCCCAAATCAGTCAGAGAAAATTCTTGCCGTATAAGCTTCTCCTGAAGAGTCATTTTCTCCAAAGGCTTAGTAGCTCTCAAATTATGCACCAGCCTTGGGGCCAGAAGGGTATCATTCACCTTGAAAGAGTGAAAAAACAAATTTGTCGAGAACTAAGAGGTAACACTGAAGGTACCATCTAAATTCGGACCTGGAAGGAGGTGTGGGTATAGCTAGCTCGGTGGGAGAGGGCTTGCCTAGCATGCGTGAGGACCTGGGTTCAACTTCCAACACGACAAAGAACAAAAATAATAAAGTAAATTAAATTACTGCAGACCTTGATTCTAGCGGAAAATCTTGGCATGAACCACTGTAAATGCCCACCGATCAATAATAGACGCTTGACAGCCACTCAATTTCTACCATGAAAGAATATGCACCAGAAAATACTATTTCTGTAATACAGTTACAACAGTGCAATAGAAACTACAGGGCCTTTACCAACACTCACTCCTAATTCTTGATAAACTCAAGCATGAAAGGAGGACGGTGAAATAAAAGGAGCTCATACACCTTTCCTAGTTTCCATACAGAAAAGAAACCGGACAGAAGCCACTGAGCTTATATTAAGAGCTGACTGAAGCCTGGTACGCAGAGCCAAAGGGCAAATAAAAACAGCCCTGCTAGTTAGCATGTTCGGAAAAGACAGAACAGAATTGCTGGGCCATGCTGGATGAGCCTAGACTTACAACCAGGGATGAGACCAAAAGTAAAAAATGTAGCATGTTCTCCTGCATGTCAGGCAAAGATATTTGAACACTGCAGCCATAACTCCCACACCATTACTTAAAGAATTAAACACAGTAAATATTTAAAGTAACTGATAATTTTGTTTATGTGTATATAGATGCACATACACACAGAGAAAAAAGATGAACCAAAAAAACCACAGAGCCGGGTATGGTGGTGCACACCTGTGATGCCAGCACTCAGCAGGCTGAAGCAGGAGGACCCCTGGGAGTTCAAGGCCAGCCTGGGCTACAAAGTGAGTTCGAGGCCAGCCTGAACTGCATAGTGAAACCCTGCCCTTAAAAAAAAGACAAAAAAACAGAAACACTAAAATGGTACTAGTGATAACACTTGGGTAACAAGATGACAGATTATTTTTTCCTTGTCTATAGTTTTATTTTACGTAATGAACATATATCACTTTTATTATCAAAGGAAATCAAGTATCTTTTTAAACAGTTAACTAGGTGATGAACCCCCAATACAATAGTAAGCTATGGAGATATAACAGTAAGCCATCAAATGTTCTTGCTACTTTCCAAAGGGTCAAAGGTGAGCAGACTGAATTTGGAGGACAATCCACTGAAATTACAACACAAAGAGAACTTGCAGAAAAACTCTCAACTACAAGAGCTGTGGACAGACACAAGGACAGATGCTACACGCCCAAAAGATATATAAACTTGCTTGTCCCAGTTTTTGTCAGCCAGCACTTTGGCGACTCCTACTGGGATTCTGAAAAATTACAGTCACTTAACAAACAATGTCGGGAGCAGGGAATAGGGAACTATGATCTAACCGGAGACAACCAGTGACCAAAGCCCAAGATGTGCAATGGCCACCGCAGACTTTCCAGCCGCTTCCTCGTAACGCCATCACCCAGATAATGGTGAATATTCACTGAAAAGCCCAGGTACAATCGGTCAAATATAGCCTGAAACTATTAATTGGAAAATTCAAGAAATAATTCACAGGTTTTTAACTGTACACCATTCTGAATAGCATGATGACATCACACACTGTCATATTCTGAACCTGACTCCTCCCTTTGTCAAGTGTATCCGCACTGTTTGTGCTACCTGTCCGTTACAGTTCCTGTTAGTCGCTTAGTAGCCACCTAAGTTATCCGATCCACTGCCAGGGCACAGCGTACTTGTGTTCAAGTAATCCTCTATTATTTAAAAATGACTCTCAAAACACAGCAGTAATGATGTTGGCAAAGAGAAGCCATAAAGTGTTTAAGTGAAAAGGTAGAAGTTTCCAACTTACTGAGGAAGAAAAAATAAATCATATACTGAGGCTGTTAAGATCTACAGTACAGGGCTGGGGATTTAGCTCAGCGGCAAAAGCGCCTGACTGGCAAGCGCAAGGTCGTGAGTTCGGTTCCCGGTACCGGAGAAAAAAAAAAAAAAAGATCTACAGTACAATAAGGTATTTTGAGAGAGACTACATCCACATGATTTTTATTATACTACATTGTTATAATTATTCTATTTTATTATTGGTTATTATTAATCTACTCTGTGCCTGATTTAAAAATTAAATTATCACAGGTATGTGTGTACAGGAAAAAATAGCACACTGTATGTAGAGTTTAGTACTATGCACAGTTTTAGGAGTCTATTGGGGGTTTTGCAGATAAAAGAAGTGTACTCAAGGGGCTGGGAATTTAGCTCAGTGGCATAATAAGCACCTGCCTGGCAAGCGTAAGGTCATGAGTTCGATTCCCAATCCAAAAAAAAAAAAAAAAAAGAAGTGTACTCGAAAAGCTAACAACTAGGGATAAGCACTATCCTGGATACTGTGGTGAATGTAGAGAGAAGGTGTAATCAGTCACACATCTGATGGAGAGAGATACGACATATAAATCAAAACTATTTAGGTAACATAAGACAACAAAATTAAATGGATAAAAATATATATATATATTATACATAGATACACATACATTTTTAAGGCAGTTCAAGGACTGCTCAGCGTAGATTAAACAGCTGGCTTGTGAGTGGTCCAGGCACGGTCACCATGGGGCAGAAAAGGCAGTGATGAGCAATTTTGTATGGAAGAAGAATGATTTGGGCAGAAAAAGGTTTCCTTATCAGATTAAGAATATTCATTGGGAAAATATACATAGCAGATTCCAAATATCCTAAAATATGATAGAGGTATATAGTAATATTATATCCCAAGGGGATTCCAAAGCAGATGTCACTGTTCTACTGCAGACAGAAACAAACTAGTTTAAAAAGAGAAGTTAACTAATTTGTCCAAGATCATCAAGGTAAGCAACCTGGCTGGGACTGAACCAGGCCTGATGGAGCCCAAAATGCACCTCTCTTTTTTTTTAATCCCCCAATGTTACTTTTTCTTAAAGCACAGTTTCTGAGAGCATCACTCGGAACTCTAACTGTCCAGTTCTCACGGTCTATCCACGCACCCTTTTGACTTTCCAGTGTTCCCACAGTTCTACAAGTTCTCCTGTACATCACGGACTGCTCTCGGGAGGGTGACTATAGATAAAATTTAAATGACCAATAACATTTATCCCAGCCAAGGGGTGTTTCCTAAGAGGCATGAAGACCTTCCTTTAAAGGAACAGTGTTTTACTAACTTACTTAAAAGAACTTTATCTTACTTTCTCAGGGAGCCAGGCATACATTTTACAATGTACAATGTACAGTCAATGGCTAGAGATTACAAACTTTGACTCCCATTCACAAGCCCTCAGGCTCTCCATGCAAGTCTACCCAGCCTAAATCTGGGAGACAAAAGGCCAGATGTGGCTGCAGGTTTGCTGCAGAAGGAAACAGGAGCCCTCACTATTTTACATGTTAAGCATATAACATAACAGATCGCATCTGACATTTAAACTTTTAAACATTTCTTTAACAGATGGGTTGTCCAAAAAATGTGCTCTTCACCTATTTTATAAAATGATCTTTTACTGTCTCTGTGAATCAGGAGAAGAATTACCTTTATTGGTCTCAGCATTTTTACCATCAAAGATGTTATAGGTATTAAATGTCAAAAGTGTCAACTTTCAAAGGAACTGAAATAAAATTCCCACGGGATCTCAGAGCGTGTAGACAAGTAGGGAGAAGATCATGGCACTGCCAGGGATTACTCCATGGCACTCGCTGTGGAAACAGTCTTCCCGACTACTCCTGTGCTAAAACCAGAATACAGTAATAGACGGGTCGAGGGTAACTTGATCACTTTTTTTTTTCTTTTCTTTTTTTTTTTTTGGTACCGGGAATCAAACTCAGTACCTAGTGCTTGCCAGGCAGGCGCTGTGCCACTGAGCTACATCCCCGGTCCCCCACCAATATTTTAATAGGACAATGAATAATAAAGAGTTTTGAAATGTGTTTTAGAATGATAGCTCACATTCTATCATAAGAAAATTTCTAGCTCACCCAAAAGCTTCCAAGTTATATTGAATTATATGTTTTACACAGAAAATAAAGGTGATTTAAAAATGAAAGTGATATTGTTCACCCTTTCTCAACAGAGTTGTTACATCCCTCCCTCTAAAATTTTTAAAATATTTTTTCATTTTAGATGAGATCAGGCACATTCAGGATGGTACAGCCACAGACTATTTTTTAATTTTAAACTGGGCATGGTGGCTCACTCCTGTAATCTCAGCACTTTGGAAGGTTGAGGCACAAGGACTCCAAGTTTAAGTTCAGCTTGGACAACTTAGCAAGACTCTCTCAAAATAAAAGAGAAAGGGTCAGGGGTGTACTCAGTGCAAAAGTCTTGGGTTCTGTAAAAAATAAAATAAAAAAGGTCAGAGATAAAGCTCAGTGTGAAGGCTCTGGGTTCAATCCCCAGTACCACAGAAGAAAATCTCATCTTATCAATGCTCTAATACATATGCTAAGAGATTTTAGGGGTAGAATTCTTTTCACAAAAGCAAGAATAAAATGTAGGCCTTACATATCTGGATGGCTCTTCCAGGTTCTGGTCATTCATGTCAGTAGGAACACTCCGGGTGGCCAGTGGTCCCTCTGAAAAAGGTTTTGGTAGCTGACCTCTGAACTCTGATGGAATGAACTGAAGCTGCCAACTGTCAGAATCACAAACAAAGAGAAAAACACCACGGGATCGTATTGCTAAATGTACTTGAAACCAACCAACCAACCAAAAAAAAAAAAAAAAATGTGAAAAACATTTCACTTGAAGTAAAAAAACATTTTTGCTAAAACCTCAACCAGGGAGCACAGAGGCAGAGGTCAAAGTTTAGTCCAAAAGCATTGAGCAATTCATGACTAGGGATCTCTCAACCCATTTCACTAGGTCTCAGCAGCACAACCTGCAGCCAAACAGTCACAGCACCAAACAAGCGGGGAAGCGCCAAAGCCGTTACCAATTCCCGTGTGATCAAAGGGACTTCGCAAAATCAAAGCAAATTCATCAGGCGTACTGAACAAGATGCACATTCATATATGGCACTGAGAACACACGGAGGGAGCAGTACTTTGCTCCTGAGTAATCCTCAAAAGTATTTTCAGCTATGAAACTATTTCAAATGTAAAAGGCAAAGGTCAAAGTCAACACTTAAAAAACAAGTTTTCATTTAATTATTAATGACTGGTGCAGGATTTTATGAAGCACAACATACTACTACCAGGTAAAGCTAAGCTGCTGAAGCCATTCTTCATTTTTTTGTTTTTTGTTTTTTCTCCGGTACCGGAAATCAAACTCATGACCTTGCGCTTGCCAGGCAGGCGCTGTGCCGCTGAGCTAAACCCCCAGACCTGAAGCCATTCTTCAAATGGAACAACATGACTCATCTTAACCAGACTTCCCTTTTACCTACAGAGGACCAAGTTAAGAAAAATATATGGAACTCTAGGGCATATGCTATCAAATCTAGCAACAGACAGTGTAAGGGAAGTTGGCAATGTCTTAATATTAGCTTTCTCCACTGCCATATGTTGGCAGAGAACTTTCACTGTTGTTGGATAGGAAATAATTTTTTTTTAAACTGGGTATGGTGGCATATACCTATAATCCCACCTGTTCAGGAGGCTGAGACAGGAGGATCTCAAGAACAGACTGAGGAATTTAGACAGACTTTGGTCCTCTCACCAAAAATTTTTTTTTCTACAAAACTCTTTTAAGATAGAGTCTCTAGACCACTTTTAGAGATGGATTAATATCAAATAATTACAGAAGTATAAATATAAATCTTCAAGAATAATCACTAGCAGATACCTAGGGCCCAAAGCATTTTCAGCCTGTTGCTATGGGTTGGACAGGGTACATGTCCTGACACAGCACCCAGTGTGATGAACACAGGGGATGGGTGCACAGGTTCCACAGAAATCTAAGCTGGTAAAACAACTTTCTGTAAAAACTTCACAACAAAAATTAACAAGATCCTGCCATACAACTGCTATTTTATTTCTGGATTTAAAACTCTAGAAATCAAAGGCCAACTCACTTATCAGGCAGAAGGAAGCTGCTGGGAAATCGATACCACTCTTTTCCCACACAGACATTTACAGGTCTGCCTTCCGGGACAGTGTGGATAGTTGGGTCTGTAGCAATTCGGTAAAATTCTGGATATAAGTCAAGCGGTCCATGATACCCTGGAAGAAAAGAAAAGTTAACGAAAGTCAAAGAAGAGTAAGATGAGATTCTGCAATTTAATTATAATGCATGTTAACATCCCATTATAAGCACTTGGGAGGCTGAGGCAGGAGGATCGCAGGGAGTTCAAGGCCAGCCTGGGCTGCATAAGTGAGTTCAAGGCCAGACTGCATTACATACCAAGAACCTGGCTCAAAAAAACAAACAAAAAATTCCCTATTAACATCTCATTATAATCCATCCACATGAAATTTAAGTGTGAAGGGTCATAGCAACCCTAGCAGGGAGTCTGCTCTATAGGTATAAAATGTCTCTGGTTAGGAAGTTGGCTGCAACACAGACCCTATTTTGTTTAATATAACTTGATTTTTTGCCCCTGTCTACACCCTTTCTTCTTTTTAACTTTATGTTCTTTCCGCATATTCTTATATTCTGGATCCCAATAATGATTATAAGAAAAATATAATCATGAGAATTTAACCCCAAGTTTACTTGTTAAGTTTAGGTTTCCTTAATTTATCAGCAGCCATTAAAAGGGGGGGAAAGACAATAAGCACAGGAAAAAATGTGTAGTTAATCACCCTAAAAGGAACTCTCAATCTCTTTTTTTTTTTCCCCCCGGTACCAGGAATCAAACTCTGGGCCTTGCGCTTGCCAAGCAGGTGCTTATGCCAGTGAGCTATAGCCCTGGCCCCTCACCCTCTTTTCTTGATCCTGAGGAGTAGAAGACACATAGCATCATAATTAAGTCTACACGATCTCTGTTTAGGGCAGGGCTTTTCTTAACATAAGCCAAATCTGTTAAGCCAGCCTGCACTCAGTAAAATCTAAAGTAAAGTGCCTCCGGAACGAGGGTTAAGGTACTCTCAACACATTTACCTCGGAACAGTGCCACAGAGCGAGAGAATGATAGGAGCCCAAACAGGAAGACGGTTCCTAGCGCCAGCCAATTTGACGTCACAGTATAGTGCTCCAGGCGGTAGCGTTGAAACACAAAGTGGTAACATTTCTACAAGGAAAAAAAAACCCATACTGATAAAAGATACCTTGCAGAATATATATAATCACACATCACAGAAATACCAATAGCAGGCTAGCCCTGGCGGCACACACCTGTAATTCCAGCACTCAGGAGGCTGAGGCAGGAGGATCGCTATGAGTTCAAGGCCAGCTGGGGCCTTGATTATATTTTTCTTATAAAGTGAGTTCAAGGACAGCCTCAACTGCATAAAACCCTATCTTCAAAAAAGAAAAAGAAAGAAAAGAAAAGAAAGGAGAAAAGAAAAGAAGAAGAGAACAGATAAGACAAAAAAAGAACAGACCCATAGCACAGAAGTACAAAAAGAGAGATAACTGAAGGTCTAACCAAGTGCAAACACCTAGGGAGGTACCTGTTCCAAGTTTTAGGATCCAAGCCAATTCCTTTAACACTACCTAGGGAGCAGCCCAACCAGGCAGCCTGTCAGGAGTAAACTCTCACTAGCTTCACAGGAAAACTATCTGAGTATTTTCCAGTGCTTGTAGGCCTAATAACTATTTTTTAAATATTTAAGCAAAAATGCTTTTTGGTAGTTTTAATATATAAAGTATTTCCATCTGTTTTGATATGAGTATTTATCTTCCTTGCTAACAAGTTTTCAGCAGTTTTTAGTATCAACAAAATGTGTCAGGACTAAACAAGAAAAAAGAACTCCTAAACTGGGCAAGGTGCACACGCCGGTAATCCCAGCACTTGGCTGATCACTCAGTTGAAGCCTACCTAGGCTACATAGCTGGTCTCAAAAACAAAACAAAAAAATAATTTCTTTCACAGAACAGTAGGAACATGCTATTATCTGTTAAATTACTTTACAAATTAGATGATTAATATACACATACATACATGAACTTACTTTTTTAACTATGAAGACTGAAATCAATATAGCAACTGACAATATTATGACACAATATTAAGTTTAAAAGAATACAGTTATGTTTTTATTACAGCCATAAACCTTGGTATGTGCTAGATGTTTTTGTTTGTTTTTGGTACTGGCAATCAAACTCAGGACCTCATGCTTGCCAGGCATAGATGTTTTCATTAGAAAGAGATATTTTTCATTTTCTAAATTATCTTCTAAAGTTCAATTACTTTTTTCAATTACTTTTATAAATTAGCTATATTTTAAAACTTTTACTCTAACATAAATAAATCTTGAAAACATTATACTAAATAAAGAAGCCAGTCACAAAGGACCACATATTTTATGGTACGTTTATCTGATGGAAATGCCCAGAGAGTAAGCACATCTATAGTGAGAAAATGGACAACACAACTTGTTACCCTGCACTGGGAAGATATGGGAAACAAAGGCTGGGGGAACAACAGCTAAAGGGTACAAGGCTTCTGAGGAGATAAAGAATGTTCTAAAACTGAGTAGGGGATATTTGTGCGTATCTACGGATAGGCTAAAAACAACTGAACTGTACACTTTCAATAAGTGAACTCTATGGTTTATGAACTGTACCTCAATAAATCTGATAAGAACAGAACTTACATTCTTAATCTTGTTTTCTGTCAATTACAAATGATAGCAGGGCGTAAGAAAGAGTTCCAAGGCTGCTGAGGCCACAAATACAGAGATACTCAAAGAAAAGTAAAATTAGTTCTGTCAAGAGAATAGATCAGGACAGGTGCTAAACCAGGATTACAAAGTGTCCCACATTACTGACTGCTGATGTAATCCCAGAGACTTGCAAAGTTTCACTCTCATCCAGCAGCTGAAGAGCAGAGATTCTGCTAGCCTTACCCGGTACCACCATCATGGTGGCCCAGATGGTGACTTAAACATGAACATATTAGCAAGTGGATTCCTTTTGGCAACAGAAACAAATTATCACACAAATTAATAATATAAGCATGTAGTCAGCAAATAAGAATAGCATAAGCATAAAGCTTTATTAATATGATGTGCACCAGGGGTACCATTCTTTTTCAATGCATAAAGCTTTATTAATGTGATTTGCACCAGGGGATACCATTCTGTCACTGATGGACACATGCTATAATTTGTCCTTAAATTTTCTGAGCAATTATTTAATAAGTGAAACAGAGGGAGGCAAACACACTTTTCCCTGAAACTTACCTGAAGTGCAGAAAGAGCCACAGCACCACAGAGACATATAAGTGGATACACAGGGAAAAGAAATCGCTCTTCTTTGTGAGGCTGGATGAAGAAAATTATAAACCAAACATACATTGGAGCCAAGGTAAGCCAATATGGGTGGCCTAAATTCTGAACTGCAAGACACAGAAAAATACCCACTTTTCATCACACTAGAACAAAACAACATATTTAGTTTCAATGTTCTCTTGACCTCAAATTTGGGAGTATGCTCTACAGCACCCCATAAAATGTTTCAACTTGTGTGTTCATACTTTTTCCAATGTAATGAAGATGTCAAACAGAAAGAGGAATATACTCCTTAGCTCTTCCAAAAGATCCAAAATTAAAGGGAGGCACAAGACTGGTGGAAACCACATGAAGGTCAAGTTAATGTATAACTTAATAAATTCTATGCTGGGTGAAGAGAAAAAAAGCCTTCTTGCCTCTAGTGAGTCCTGCTACAAAAACTAAAGATTTCTAAGATTAACCAAAAGCATAATGTAAAACCATTTCTTGGGTTTAATTTCTGTGTTCTATTTAATACATTAATCGTCTGATCTGTATACCAATTGGTCTGTTCAAATGGACACAGATCAAAAGAAAGAAAACCAGTTGGATTCTCAAACCCTTTCCAACAAGCCACAAATGACTTGACACACCTGTAATCCCAGTACTCGGGAGACTGAGGCAGGAGGATTGCTTCCAGTTCAAGGCCAGCCTGAACTGCTTAGTGAGACCTTGTCTCAAAAAACAAACCAACCAACCACACTCTTATTACAGTTTACTAAGTTTTCTCTTCTATAATACCATTCACTCTGAATCTCAAAATTAGAACTAAAGTGTACTTAAAGCATGTAAAAGCATTAAAGGAATATAATGAATACTAGGACCTAAGCACCTGCTGGAAGGTTCCTGTGGTTAGATACATGAGCACTGAATACTAAATCTGCAACCCACAGTGAAGGCACTTCCTGCTGTGCTTGTATTAGTGATAATGAGCTGTGCACGCAGAACTCGGGCAAACAGTAGGTACACAGCACTCCCTGGTGTCCACCACATCTACAGTGAGCAAGTTCAGATCACAGACTAAGAAGGCATCAAGACCCACTGCAGCAACACCCAATTCTGCTATCTAGCTTATCTGTATACCTACAGAATTCTTTAAGGATAAAATTTATTGAACTGCAATAACAAGCCTACTTTATAAATGTTCTACTCTTTAAAATTTCATCATGATCTCTTAGGTTATAATTTAGGATTCATGTGTTTCCAGATAGTATACATTAAATTAGAAATCTTTTACTTGTAGAAAATAAATCTATATATTTGATATAAGTAATCTTTCTCCTTTTTTGTATCTTAAAGGCTAACAGTCATTTTTTAATATGATATAAAATTCTGAAATGGTCTACATAAAACACAAAATTACTAACCACATTTGTATGTGACAGGATCATGAGTAATTTCTTTCCCAGTTCTTTATATTTTTCTATGCTTCTAGTTTTTTAAAAAAGTAGTGTTTCTACTATAAAATATACATAAAAAGATAAATACAAATCAGAAAGCTCTAATTTTATTACCAAGTGGATATGTATGTGCATAATACATTTTAAAATCAAAATTACATTCATATTATAGATAACAGCTTACTATCTTGTTTATAAATTTATATTATAAGCATTTCCAAATTTTCCACAAGCATAAATTATTTTTATAGTCAGAAATAAAGCTATTTTTTTAGGATCCAACTAGGTAGTCCAGGCTAGTCTTAAGCAAAAAAATTCTCCTGCCTTATTCAGTCTCCTGAGTGGTGGGATTACAGGCACACACTACCATGGCCAGTACTGAGGCTGAGGCAGGAGGATCACTGCAAATTTGAAGCCAGCCTGGATTACGCAGTCTGTTCAAGACCAGCCTAGACTACATAGTGAGACCTTGTCTCAAAAAACTTAAAAAGAAAATCTTTAGGAGAAAAAAGTGACATGGGAAAATTATAAAAAGCTTAAGAAACCTACACCAATTTGAGTATGCGACCTTTGTTAACATCTTGCTTTAAACAAATTAACTATAAAAAGCTATTTTTCAGATAATCTAGGAAGTCTCAGTATCAACTGGGTATTAGATGGTATTAAGGAATTATATACTTTTGCTGCAATAGTGACGATATGGTTATTTTAAAACAAAAGCCCTCAAAGAAACCAAAAGTGACTCTGAAGGCAGCTCTCGTACACTAATTCTACAGCACAGTGAAAACCTCAGAAGCCATAGAGAAGCGGAGTGGGGGTGAGGGGGAGAAATCAGTCACATGGCAGCCAAATCTGACAGAAAACTCAGAAATCAAATTTTTCCAAAGTGCATATGAATTTCTGCTGCATAAAAGAAACTGTGGCACCTGATATTCAGAGCCACAACAACTCAAGAACATACCAGCTGTACTGTACCGAATCGGAGCAAGCAAAATACATGACACATCAAACCCTATGCAGTGAAGCAAATGTGGAAGCAAAATGGAACCCAGAAAACCATTACGCTTCTTAGGAAATCCAAAACATCTCTCACTCAGTACTAGTTCTCAAATTTTTAGCTAGGTGTGCTGGTGGATGCCTGTAAGCCAGGCACTCTGGAGGCTGAGGCAGAAAGATTGTTATGAATTTGAGGCCAACCTGGGCTACATAGCAAGACCCTGTCTCAAAACCAAAAAACAGACAAACAAAACAGTTTAACACATTTTTACAAGACAGAAGACTGAAATAGGCTTATTATCTTGAGATTTCATAAATGCTTCTGCTTCCACAGGTGGCTGTGTAAATTACACTGATTTCCTCATTTGAAGGGTCCTCCTGCTAGCTTAATTTGAAACAAATAACCAAATTTTCACATAGGTTCAAATAATGTACAAATATGAACTGAAAATTCAACAAGATAACCTTCCCATAGGAAAAAAATGGGAATTAAAATAAGTGGAATTCTTTTTCACGTATTAGTACACCTTGTTACTTGTTCTTTCCCTCCGCACACCCTCCCATCTCTTATGCCTCTCACCATGAAATCTCTGCAGCAGGTACTCCATGAGGGAAGTCAGCGGCAAGACCAGAAGAGCCAAAGCAAAGGCAATATTGAAATTCAGAAATCCATTAATTAAATAGAAATACCAGGGTTCTGTACCTGAGGGAGACAAAGAGGTAAGAAATTATCAATAGATGCTTTCAGCACGTATTACAGAGCTGGGTGCTCAGCGCTCTTGGTTCAGATAATGTCGATGATCCAGTGCCTCAAGTGAATGACAGTTCGCAAGCCTCCTCGCTTGGCACGCACAACACACAGGAAGCACAGAGCAGATGCGAAAAGAGGAGGACTGGTTATAGATGTTAGTTCTAAACATCTACCTATATATTTTTATCTATTTATCTATCTATCTATCTATCATCGCTTTTATACCATGTAAGGACATAACACTCCTCCCATCCAGAAGACAGAGCAACAAGGCAACATCTTGGAGGCAGACAGCCAGCCCTCACCAGACGTCCAATATGCCTTGATCTTGAATTCTCAGCCTCCAGAACTATGAAAAATACATTTCTGCTCTTTCTAAATTACCTTGTCTCAGGCATTTTGTTATGGCAGCACACACTAAGACAGAAAATTACCACATCTAGCCCACAATGCCATGCCCATATGGGACTAACACTTTCTTAGAACAATCAAATAATTTAAATAGTTTAGGAACACAGAACCACATGGAACAAAATCAAAAGAGCCATTTGAATTTAACTACTCTCTCAACATTCTGCAGACCAGAAGAATGACAGAGGAAACTTTGCCCCTACCCATTTGTCCCATTTCCATTCTAGCATCTTTCCCTTTGATATGCTCAATTACTACTTTACAGTCATGCACACAGTTTTATGAAACCACGTGTTTCATAAAAAGCAACAACTTGTTTTTTTTAGGATCATGTTCAGAGACCCAGGCCCTGCTCAGAAGTTCTGATTCAGAACGAAGCAAGACTGAAACAAGCCTCACTCATACTAGCTTTGATTCTATAACTCAAAATCCTTAAACTTAAATGATGAAAAACGGCACCCCGCACACTTAGCAGGTTTTTCATCTGCTTCTTCCCTCTGTATGATTACTTCAATCAGGCAGTGAATGACATACTAGGGTTTTAATCACTGTGTGTTGTGACACCCGCCTTGCACCACAGCAATTTCCTGCAATCAGCATTGCTTAAAAGGGTAATCAGGAGGCAGAGGAATAGTCAGAAAAACCTGACATTTTTGCAGCTTGCACAGCAAAATAAGATTAGAAACAGAACTCATAATGCTAGAGACACTGCGGAGAGGAATAAGAGGGAAGGAGGGTATGCTGAAGGAACGGTGCAAGTTTAAGCGTGTGTCACCTGTGGGGAAAGCTCACTCTGTCCTCTCCAAATACAATGACTGCAGCTCTTCGGAACGGAGGTCCTTTCCAGGTCAAGTTCACTGGGGACACTTTCAGCCTTGCACTTTTTATATTTAACTATTCAGGTTATATAAAACCAATGGGTGATTTTATTTGCAAAACAGAAAGAAACACCTTCTTGGATTTTAATTAATATTTAACAAGAAATTTCCAAAATGAGTCCTTTAAGATCTAGCTTTCAGAGAGGTAGGCTTCACGTAACCCTCTCTGGACCAGCATCTCTTAAGAGAATTCTGAAAATCTGAGTCAGTAAAGACTAGACGCAGGTAGCCAGAGACAAACAGGGTGTATTATGGATACTAAGCATCAACAGGGAAAAAAAAAGCAAATACAGATGATTTTTCTAGGGAAGTTCTTAGTTTCTAACAAATACTTGTCTCTATCACAACTTACTAAACCCTTTTGTTTGAGCTGTCTTTTTACCTAGATATTCTTCTGACATGCAAAAAAGTATTAAGTTGGTAAACTGAATTATTTCTATGTTGGGAGCTCTTAAATCATTGTCTCCGATAGGCTGTGAACATTTCATAACACACTGTTATTTCCCTGAAGGAAACTGGGGGATAAGCCAAGAGTGAAGAAAGTTTGAGTGACAACACTCTTAAAAACAAGGACAAAAAAGGACAAAAAGAGCAAATGTTGTTAGCTAATGATGAGACATCTGCTTCAGGAAGAAAAGGGTATACGCTTTTATCTTCCCAGGGCGTTACTCAACACTGATGCTCAGAAAGCATCAAAGCTGAACAATACAGAAGAATCACTTCAGAATGACAAGCTGAGCACTGAACTGGTACAAGATGTCAGGAGAACGAAAGCTGGCAGCAGGGTCTCGGCAGGGAGTGACTCACCAATCTCCTTCTTTGGGAAAAGTGCCTCAAGCCCTTTCATTCAAATGAGCTAAAGGGAGCTTTGAAAGAGGCTAAAAGAAGAAAGAATAATGTTTACTGTTCCATAGATTGAATGAAGGGGAACCTTTGTACAGACCTGTAATTTTGCAGAACTGTAGGAACTAAATTACAGTAAGTCATCCTTAGAAATGTCAAATTTGTACCACCAAAAGGGAAAAGCTAACAAGGTTCCACAGAAAGGATTAACAAAAGAGTGAAGGCTCTAGAATAGTTCTGGCTTGCAGTCAACTTTAAGCAGCCCTCCTAAGACTCCACCAGGGATTTACCCTCCACTGCTCCAAGAATGGAAACCCATAGGCCTTCTAACAAAAGGTATTCACTTTTACTTTTCCATCCAGTGACCTGACAGATGTTAGTTAAAACACATGAACAGACTATGAAACCCTGTCCTAAGCTGCAAAGTGGCATACAGCACTGCTCCATTGTGAGGGAAGAGTTTGCTTTGCTTTGCTTTGCTTTTTTTTCTTTCTTTGCAGTCCCGAGAACTGGGACAGAGTGCTCACCACTGAGCTACATCCCTAGCCCTTTTTATTTTCATTTTGAGACAGTACTGCTAAATTACTAAATTGTCCAGGCTGGGCTCAAATTTTGGATCCTTCTGCCTTAGCTTTCTAGAGAGGTGGGATCACAAGTGTGCACCACCACCCCTAGCTGAGTGTTTCTTTTAAGTGCCCTCCTATGCCTTCTCCAGGCTCATGCACTCATCAGAAAATACCATTACTCACTCACAGATAAAGGCACCTGTTAACAGCAACATCTGAGAACTTGAAATGTTACCAAGACCAATCACTTTCTTTTCTGTGATGTTAAATTTCAGCTGTTGATTTTTGATGCCACAAAGATGTTTTCCCTATGACATTACAACTTATTCTAACTACTCTAAATGTTCTAAGTGTCAAGTACTCCTTACTTTGTCCACTCTTCCTTTCTTCAACAAGGGTCAGGTACAGTGCGGAAGAGACCATCTGTGTGCATGTCTCTCTGGCATCCAATCCCTGCTGATCACCCTTCAAGCTAAAATACACAGACCTTCAAAGGTGCAACCTCCCACTCCTTGGGCTGGATCTTACTTCGTATTACTCTCAAACTCATTCTACCTGCTTTTTCGAGCTTATTCTCCAGAGTCTCAACAATCAAATTACGGGGTCTTGCTAAGGGTATTTTTCATTGGAAAGAACACAGGCTTGGGAAGTAGAAAACCTTGGACTTTTATCCCATTCCTGACAGTTATTTAACTAGGTATCAGTATCTTTCCCATATCAGGTTCCTCACCTGGGAATAAGGACAAATAATGCCTATTTATTTGTGAACTGTTGTGAAAAGGAGATAGTACGCATAAAATTGCTGACACATAACAGGCATTCAATAAACAGAAGATTCACAGTATCTGTGAAGCACTCCTTTTCTTTCCCTGGGCTTCAAAAGAAAGGAGTCAGTCCAGGCCAGGAATGTGTCATTAGTATATGCTATACACCAAGAAAGTACAGAGTAGTCCCTTTGAAAACCATAACGGCCGGGCATAATGATGCATGCCTATAAAACTGGCACTGGAAGAAGCTGAAGCAGGAGGACCGTCATGAGCTCCAGGCCACAAACAAACAAACAAAAGAACAGAGAGGGTAAATATTTACATGGTTACCATCACAATGGAGAGACTAAAATCGGCTTGCTCGTGCTTAAAGAGTTTCTCCCCTAAAAATTTAGCCAATGCTATAAAAATATTAGAGCTTTTTCTTTTGGCAGGGGGAGTATTTTGGGGGCTACGTTGGTTTTTATGAGACAGGGTCTAGCTATGTACTTTAAGCTGGTCTTGAACTAACTATGTAGCCCACATTTTGGCCTGGAACTCATGGTGATCTTCCTGCCTCAGCCTCCAGGAGTGCTGGGATTATAGGTATGTGCCACTGTACCTGGCTAAAAATGTTATTTTAAAGCAGAACTCAGTATTTTATCTTTTCTGCTCAGCAGTTCCTACATTTGATACCCCAACCCATTTGTCAGAAATGGCTCTCCCTCAGCATCTACTAGGAAAACTACTACCCTTCCTCCCAAGCTTAGCTCAAAACCATACCTTTCATGATATCCCAGAGGTACTTGCCCCTACGATCTTCTATCTTCTCACTGCAGCACAAGATACCGTACTGTAATTATTTACGGGTCTGGAGCCTTATGAGTCACCATGTCCTATAAGGACACAAAGTAAGTACTCATAGGCAATTCGATGTTTCTTTAACTAGTCTATCCATTTATTCAAAAATGTGTATAAGTTTGTTATGTTCTTATATATGAAAAACAACACTTAGAGGATATATGAGGAAACTATCAGCACAATGCATTTTTAATTTTCAGATAAACCATATGTCTACCATAGTTAATGAGATACGCAGCAACAGGAAACTCTTCTAAAACAGTTGAAATAATGCAAAATAGCGTCAAACATGTTAAGTAATGCTAAAGAGCTGGTGTTTTTAAGACAAAAGACATGTTGTCTCACCATTAACAGTCTTACAGCATCAAAGCATCTATAAAAGATGGATCTTTGATATTACTGAATGGGCTGACAATCATAAAGTACTTCTTTAAAAAAGTATTTTACATCTATTATTCTCACTTGTTATCAAGAAAACTCCAAGTCAGCATCTAATCAAAGTAGTTGTAAGATATAATAGTAAGCAAGATACTAATATAACCTGACACATACTTCAGAATTCATTCATTCATTCATTTTTGACAAATCTGTTCTGTAAACCTGGAATATGCAAGAAATTCCTTCTCCCAAGATGTAAGAAATATTCTCTCTGTAGGCCTAAAGCATAAAGGAATTAATACTCTTTAAAAGAATGGAATTCAGACCCCACCCCCACCCCCAATTTGTCAAGTTCAAAGACGAGGTAAAAGCACAAGAAGTCTATTATGAAGAAACAACTTCCTTAAGGCTGGCTAACTTCAGCACTGCATCAGTCCTGTTCATGGCCAGTGTGACAATTCTTACAGTCCTAACAAAAGTTTTTGCCACCACTAGGAAAGTGATGGATTCTTCTCCACATCCAAAACAACAGTAAAATCTGAACTAAAACAATTCTAAGTTAATCCAAGTAGGCAGGAAGAAATCCCACGGACTCTTTTCCAGTGAAACACTGCCTGAAATGAATAGCTAATGTCAATGTCCAGTGAAAGAAAGGACACTACTCTACTGGTCCTGAAACTGACCACAAGGTCTCTGACCAACCCAATGGTAAACCAGAAGCATAAACTTAAACCTCAATTACTTTCTTTCTTACTTTCTCTACCAGTCTATTTCTAGCTTTACAAGCCTCATCAATCTAGAAAGCTACAAAAAATATTTTATTTTCACATATTCTCACAAAAGGTTTCGTAAATATGCAGTGAGAATAGCAATATATAACTTATTTAAGAAAATAAACTAATTTTTCAAAATTAATACAGACTATCTCCATTTATTCGCCTAATAGAACGTATATGGTTCCAATAAGGTACATGCAAATCAATTTTTACCATGCAATCTGGGTCTAAGGTCTTTTTTATTTCTTGGTACTAGGGATTGAATCCAGAGGTTTGGCACTGAGCTACATCCTCGGCCCTTTTTTATTTTGAAATAGGCTCTCGCTAAGTCACTCTATTGCCCAGAATGGTGTACAACTTTTGTTTCTTTCTCTTTCTTTTTAAGAGATTTGAGAAGGATTTATTAGAAGTAGATATGGATCACACTCCAGAGTGGAATGCAGGTGCTCAGGGAAATGAGACACCTGGGCTACAACTTTAATCCTCTTGCCTCAGCCTCCCAGAGCAATGGGACTACAGACACACTACCACGCCTGATTTAAAATCATTAATGGTCTTCCAGAGTCAAGTAAAACTTTACAAATAAATTAAAGTAAGGGCCAATTTAAAGCTGCAGACTTTCCCTAGCTGAAGGGAGACATCTAGAGGTAAAAGCTTAAAACGGGGGCCTTTTCTCTCTTCCTTGCAAATCTTGGAACCATAAAAAAACCTCTTAAAGTTCACCCATTTAGCAATTTTTCTCTAAGCATCAAGTTTGAAAAGTCAGTTCACCAAAGCACTGCTTATTTTAACCTATTATCTGCCATCTAAAATGATAACACTGTAATCCCCAAATTCTTGGAAACTTCAAGGTTTCTCATGCAATCTATTGGTTTTATCGGCAATATGGCCCAGGCAATTGATGGACATGGCTACTAATACAACGTACTGGTAGCGATAGAGAAAGAAAATACTGACCTGCTTCATACAGTGCCAAGACATCTGTATATACAGGATGTTCTAAAGATTATGCCAGGCAGGGTGGTGTGTGCCTGTAATCCCAACTCTTGGGAGGCCAAGGCAGGAGGATCGCTGTGAGTTCGAGGCCATCCTGGGCTACACAGTGAGTTGAAGACCACCCTAAACTACATAGCGAGACCCTCTCTCAAAAAGGAAAAAATTATTAAAAGATTAAAGGGGAGAAACTATACTTAATTTAGTGAAAAACACTGTCTCATAAAGCATTTACTGACTTGATCTAGTAGCAGATTAGATCTGACTGTGATGAACTCTAACTCATCCTTCTGTAACTGTAAGTAACTCAAATGCCCTCAAAGGTCAAATAAAACTGAATCAAGGACTGGACTGGTGGAACAAAAGACAGGAGGGGAGGGCAGAGATGGGGTACAGTGGAGAATGCATTCTATTGTTTTCTCTTAAGCCTAAGCTGTCCAAACTATCCACCCTTTGTCAATCCCCATCTCTATTTGCTACTTTGTCCACAGATTTTTCAAATTTTCTCCTGAATATCTGATACCAAAGTAATGCAAATAAAAAAATAAAATAAAATAAGCCTGGTATGGTGGCATGTGGGTATAATTCCAGTGACCTGGGAGACTGATACAGGAGGGTCACAAATTTGAGGCCGGTCTGAACAACTCAGCAAGACTCTGTCTTAAAATTAAAAACAAAAATTAAAAGACTGGGGATGTGGCTTAGAGGTAGAGTGCCCCTGGGTTCATTCCCAGTACCAGAGGAAGAAAAAAAAGGAGAGGAAGAAGGCAAGGAAAAAGAGAGGAGAAGAGAAAAAAAGAAACATCAAGTATATCTAGGTACAGAAAATGTCCGAAGGAATATATTACTGAGGGTTAACAATAGCTACATGAAAATGATGGACTTATGTTTTATTTTCTATGTTATCATACTAATTTTTTAGTAAAAAGAGAAAAAACTTTTAATTAAGAAAAAAAAAGGAACAGCATTAAAACCCATGGCATACTCAATTCCAGCTTTGAAACGGATAATAACAGATAGCAAGACAAACACAGAGCCAGCATCTGAGTGTCACATTAATCAAGAAAAACTACTGAAGTGACTGTCCATCACTGTGCTATATTTAAGTGTTGTTCTATTTTTTAAGTAGGAAAATAAGATCACCAGCAAAGAAATGCTATATGTGATAAAATGGGATAACTAAATTAAAATTATGAAGCTCAAGCAAATTAAGCGAATTTCCAACTCTTTCCAAAATCTGTAAAGCCTTACCATAAAGATCAGGTCCATGAGAGGTGAACACATTATACAAAAGAATGTTGAGTGGTGCAATTACCAACTTCCCATAATAGTAGCTGTCAATGACCACTACAGGCACCTAAAACAGAGCACAAAACACACAAAATTGTAAAGTTTTTCTCTTGAAACATTCTCAAAATGCTGACGGATAAACCTGAGAATGAAAAACAAAACGAACTCCTAGTATTTTTTTTTGTACATCACAAGTGGCTTTCATTACAACATGAGAACAAAACAAGCAAGAAGAAAACTCACCAGAAAGAGAATTAGGGCCACCAGTGACCAATGAAAGAAATTCTTCCACCTATGTTTCATGACCAGCAAATCAAAGGCAATGGGTAAGCTATGTACAGAGAAACAAAACGTGGGAAAGTAAGTAAAATATTCAGAAACAAGTCAGATTCACACATCCCTTTCCTATGCTGACAATACAGTATCTCTACCTGTGACAGAGAGGTAAGAAAGCCACCACATGAGAGAACATCGTCCCAAAGACCGTCACAGAACCCATCAGAAAGCTATGCAACCCACACTTGCACAAGAAATACGAACACAGAGTTGCTGAACAAACTATGTTATACATATTTTGTGTAATGGACATTTAAAATATACTAATGATAAATAAATGGGCCCCATTATCCTATACCTACCATGTCAAATAAATACTGATCTCTCTTTTCCAAGACTGACTAGGATTTCAGTAATGTATTATGAACCCTGGCTTCACTTCTCACCTACTCCCTTCCAGTGCCACTTACTACTCTTTCTTCTACCTACACTGCTCAAACAAGTGGCACATCCGTGTTCCCCTCACTTCACTATTTCTCCTTCGAGGCGTAGTTTAAGTGAGTAAGGCTGATTTAAGGTACACTGGAATCTCCTTGGGTGAGAACTAACACCTCTTCACAGGGTTCATTGCCTTTTGTCATTCTGCTTCACTAGATACAAAACATGTTCTCCCTCTTTAAATACCCTAGACTCCTGTTCTTTCCACTCACTGCCCTAGGGCTCACTTCCCCACTGCCTTTATTTGTTCCCTATTTGTTCAACATATGTAAATGTTGTCACCACAACATTTTGCCAAAGCCACCACACTCGTCATCTCTGTAGGTGCTTCCACTGCTGTGGCACGAACAATCACTTCCACCTACAACTTCCACAAATCTAAGGCACTAGTAGGCCTCCATCCATGCTCTAGTCACAAAGAAGTCTTTCCGTACACCACACTTCTACACAGGATCTACCCAAATGTCAACTGCAGTGCCTGTTCTCGTCACTCCCATGAAACCTCTGCAGAACCATTTCTCCCACCTCTGACTTTGTATGGTATTATCACCTGCATCATTCATTTAGCAATGTCACGTGCTGTCACTGGGTATCTCCTTATGGCCTGAGCTTCCACACTCTATTATGTAAATTTTGTTTTTTGTTTGTTTGTTTTTCTGGTACCAGGAATCGAACTCACAACCTTGCGCTTGCTAGGCAGGCGCTGTGCCGCTGAGCTAAATCCCCAGCCCCTCTATTATGTAAGTTTTGTATTAATATTTTGTGTTTTATTTTTCTCCCAACTAGTTACATTTCCATAGCACCTATATTTTTTCTTTAATAACTTTTTTTTTTTGGAGGAGGAGGCGGAGGTGGGGATTGAACTCAGGGCCTTTGCATTGAGCCATATATCCCCAGCCCTTTTTTAGTGTTTTTTTGTTTGGTTTGTTTTTCATTTTGAGACAAAATCTCACTAAGTTGCCCAGGCTGGGCTTGAACTTGAGATACTCCTGCCTTGGCCTGTGATGTCTGGCTAAGTCATCACACTTCTGTTTGTTCAATGTTTGTCTTTTCTACCAAAATGTAAGCTCCAAAAAAGGAAGAAGCATGACTGTCTAATACAGTACCAGCAACACCTAGAACAAAGTATTTAATAAAAAAGGCAAAGGGATCAAAACGTGCCAGCCATAGGTATTTGTGGAACTCAACATGTTTTTTGTTGTTTTTTGTTGTTTTTTTTTTTTTTGTCTTTTTGAGACAGGGTCTCACTATGCAGTTCAGGCTGGCCTTGAGCTCACTTGGTAGCCCAGGCTGGTCTCAAACTCATGACAATCCTCCTGCCTCAGCCTCCCAAGTGCTGGGATTACAGGCGTGTGCCACCATGCCCGGCTGGAACTCAACATGTTAAGGGGAATGCAGATGAAACAGGGAATGAAAAGAATGAGGGAACTGACAGAAAGGGGTAGAGGAAGTAAACGCTGGGAAGACCATGCAGAGCTCTGGAGTCAGCCTAGGATTTGCACATCACAGGACAAACTTTTTATTTAAAGGACCTGACATTCATTATTTATGTTAGACTTGGCAGCCATACATGGCCTGTGTTGAATATTCTTCTGTATGTGTGTACTGTTTTCAACAACCTTTTTAAAAAGTAAAAACCATTCTGAGGTTGTATAAAAACAGGACAGCTGGACTTAGTCCACTGGCAAGTTTGCCAGCCCTTATGACACAGAGCACTGGAAAGCTATTACAGGTTAAAAGAGGGAAACGATATGACCACGGCTGCATTCTAGGAACAGAACCCTACTACAGATCGACAGTGGAAAGTGGACTTACAGGGATTACACTGGAGATGTGGAGACTACTTAGAAGGCTGTATGGTAACCAAGGGCAGAAAAAAGGTGAAGAAACATAGATTAAGAAGACATTTAGAAGATATAATAAATTAACATGATGTGTAAAAGAGAAAAAGAGTCAGGTAATTTTCAGGTTTTCAGTTCAGTCCTGAGTAGACAGCGAAACCATTTACTGGTATAGAAACACAGGTAAAGAAACAAATATGGGGGAAGACAGCGAGTTCAGGAGACAGCTAACAGGCAGCAGGACTATGAGGGAAGTAAAGATTTCAGTGGCAATCATAACGTTTTCAGCTGGACACAGTGGCACATGTGTCAGTAACCTACCACTCAGGAGGCTGTGGCAAGAGGAGCACTATGAGCTCGAGGCCTGCCTGCACTACAAAGTGAGACCAGCCTTGAAAAACCAAAACAAAACAAAAAATCATAGTTTTCTTTGGTTTTAGAAGTATTTTACAAACCAGGCATGGTGGCACCTGCCTTTAATTCCATCCACTTGGGAGGCTGAGGCAAGGGGGCAGCAAGTCTTAGGCCAGTCTGGGAAACTCAGCAAGACCCGGTCTCAAAATTAAAAAATAGAAAGGATTAGAGAGGTAACTCTGTACTCCCTGGGTTTCACCCCCAGTATGCAAATAAAAGTATTTTGCATTTATTGACACAGGAATCATAAAGGTGACTGAGAGACAGCAGAAGTACAGAGAATAGCTAAGGTAAGCTGAGGAACATAATAACTGAAAGATTGTATGTAGAATACAAAAAAGGATTAGATGTGGGAAAACAGACTTGAAAAAACAAATAATAAAATTTAAAGTGGCCTATTCTCTGACATAACTCCCTTTGTAAAAATTTATCCCATAGTAAATTTCCGAAAGTATGCATGAAAAAAAAGTTCTCTGAAGCATTGTGTGTGAGAGCAAAACACTGGAAACTAAATGTCCACCAATAAAGTAATGGTTAAATACATTATGGCCAGCATACAATGGAATGCTGTGCAACTGCTGTACGGAATGATATAATCTACGTATAAGTGCCGGGGATGCAGCTCAGCGGCACAGTGCCTGCCTGGCAAGCGTGAAGTCATGAGTTCAATTCCCGGTACTAAAAAAAAAAAAAAAAAAACAAAACCCTATGTATAAGAGAAGATAAACATAGCTATAGGATAATTCTATTTGTTTTAAGAATACACAGTTATGTATGTATATGTATTTGTACATACAGTACACACAAGGATAATTTCTGGGAAAATATATACTAAATTATTAGTAGTGACTATCTCTGAGGACTGGATTGGAGGAGAAGAAATTAGGTTTTTGTGGGGTGCACATTTGAATCTTCACACTCTGGTAGGCTGAGGCAGGAGGATCACAAGTTCAACTGCAGCCTGGGCAACTTAATGAGATCCTATCTCAAAATAAATAAAAAGGGCTGAAAATGTAGCTCAGTGTGAAGGCCCTGGGTTCAATCCCCAGTACCACCAAAATAAATAAACAATCCAAAATTAGTTTTTTTGTTTTTGTTTTTCCATGCTAGGAATAGAACCCAGGTAAGCACTCTACCATTAAGTTGAATGCCCTGCAAAGAATTTTTAATCTTGCAAAATCTGGCACTTGTTTGTTGTGTTGGGAATGATACCTCCGGCCTTGTACCTACTAGACAAGTGCTCTACCTCTAAGCTACACTCCAAGCCCCTAGTACTTTTTTAATAATAAAGAAATAATACTTCTATAATAATAATATGAAGCTAAAATATTTTTAAATTAGTAGTACAGTCAAGAAGTTAAGTACACATTAGTATATAAGCAGAGGAAGCAAGAATAGAAAAGGAATGACAAACACAATTGAACTCTGAAAAAAAGGCACGGTGAGAAAAGAGAAAGACCGAAGCAAACTCAAATTTTAAGGCTGGGGAACTGGGAAAATGCAAAGCACAGGGTGAAACAGTGTGGGGAAAACATCAGCTGTAGAGTTAGAAAGGACTAGAACCAAAAGCGAGCATATCAGGCTGGGTGTGGTGGCACATGACTGTAATCTCAGCATTCGGGAGGCTGAGGCAGGAGGATCACTGTGAGTTTGAGTTTGAAGCCAGCCTGGGATCCAAAGTGAGTTCAAGGCCAGCCTGAACTACATAGTGAAACCCTGTTTCCAAAAGACTGAAAAAAAAGCAAGCATAACTTTACTCTTTTCTTTTTTTTTTTCTGAGATGGAATCTCACTATGTAGTTCAGGCTGGCCTTGAATTCTATGTAGGATTATAGGAATGCGCCGCCACAACTGGCGCAAGCTTGATTTTAAAGACAAATTTCTCAACCTCTTAGTCTCCTTTCTCATTTATAAAGCATAATGATTATAATTCTCTTACAGAGTTCTTGTAAAGTTCAGGAGTAAAGTTTGTAAAGGGTTTAGCAGTTTCTAATATATAGCAGAAAATTAACAGTCACTATTATTAGACTTAATCATACTAATAAATGCTAAGAAAAATATGCTTCCATTTCCCAGAATCTCTGTTGGTCCAATTAATTCCTGTAACTTTGGTGCTACCTGGCCATATATATCTAGTCCAACATTAATACTTGCCCTAGGCTTAGTGATATATGGGAGATGAACTATGTCAGTTTCTTACCCAAGAGCCGCACTGAACGGCCAGCCTAAGATAGCCCCAGCTGCTACGCCCAGCACAGCAACGGGAGTCTTGTCCATGTACCAACCAGTCATGGCTACCAACGTAGTGTACATACAGAAGCTACTAGGAAGGAAGGCTGCAAGAATAAAAAGGAAAAATAAAAAGAGGAAGGAGCACAAGAGACTCAGACTGGTATCAATTATTAAAAACTTACCTGCACTGCAAAACGTCAACAGCCAGGAACATATTTTTGGCAATGCTTTATTAGAAATAGCCAGTAAAGGGATATTCCTTTTTAAATTTTTTTTAATATATATTCCTTTTTAAAAAAAATAGTACGTTCAATGATTTTATTTTCTCACTCTTGCTTTTTAAGTACTAGCACGTGGCCTTGGTTTTATAATACTAACTATGCCATTCCTCTCCTGGCCTGTCCCTCAAATTCAAAATTTAAAAAATTCCAGTTTGCCCAAGAATACCCCAAGGTTATATATCCAAACAGGGAATACGCTTCAAAAGACTTAGAAACATTGCTGACAATTTATTTCTAAAAAATAAATTCTGATGTTCTTCTGAGACCGTCTCAGTCAGAACGGGTATCCCACATCTCAAGGGCCAGACTGTAAACAGCAGCACCACTTTGCACACTCTATGTACTGACAAAGATTTTCAGGCCTCTAAATGGCCCCTAATTATTTACATCTCTCATAACCTTGTGGTGTACAGCAGAGAACTGAGCAAATTCAGTCTTTGCAATACCAACGATCAATTTCAATTAACTTGGGACAAAAATATGGACCAGCCTTTTCCTGTTGCAGAGGCCTGATTCCTCTAGCACCAGTGGAAAAAAATCAGTCAACTCCAAGAGAATGATAATTAATAGGCAGTGGGATTTAAGAAACTCAGCACAGGCTTCAGGCTTTGTATCAAAACATGCCTTTAACTCATCTGAGCTTCAACTAATATCATAAAGCTAAAGATACTCGTAGGAACTTCTTCATAGATACAGTGATACCTCAGTTCACACTTTTGCTTGCAAACTTGGTTCATAAACAGAAGCTTTGGCAAAAATTTTTGTTTGCAAACTCTGCACCAGGTTACAAACAGGACTGCAGCCATCTTTCCCATACAAACGTGTCCATCTTTTCCAAAACTGTAGAACAAATTAAGTTCACGAACTGAAGTACCACTGTATATGTTAAACCACTGATGACAAACCCTTTTAGAGCTTTCAATGATAACAAAAAGCTGGCTGTGGCACGTATGCCATACAGGTTTGCCATCCCCGTGCTAAATAATACTGGCTGTCAATTCCAGCTGCCAGTGCAGAGGATAAAAAAACAGAGGTCTGTGAAGTTTCTGTTGACTCTGAGGGTACAGCACAGGACACCTTTAGGACAGTGGATCTCAAAATTATTCCAGACCAGAGCCCTGAGCTCTCACCAGGGTATTAATATTGGTATAGTCAATAAAGGAAAAGTAAATGTATAATTTTGGGCCAACTACTATTTTAGTATGTGTTCAGTACATACAGTATATTAGATTCTGGAACACAAAAGCAAAAACTCCAATTAAGACAATTATATCTAATAATTTTTCTGGAGAGTTGGAAACAGACTATCTTTAGCAGGCTACTCTGGCTCACCCACAAAACACAATTATTTCACTGCAGCACAGTTTGAAAGCCAGTAAGTATTCTAAATTTTAAGAAGCTTACTGTAAAATAAAATGTCCAACAGAACATGCATACCTCTTCAAAATATGTATCACATAGTGTACATAAAACATCTGTCAAGAAGAGTATTTTTGGCACAAAGAACTTCCTTAAAATTATGTTCTTTCCCCTAATGGCCAAGAAGGGAAATGGGTGTTGACACAGGGATATAATAGAAAGTGCCTATCAGTTCCACCAGTTACGAATTTGACTTATAGTAAGTTATTTCACTTTTCTAAATTTCAGTGTTCTCCCCTGCAAAAATGAGAAACTATCTCATACCCTATACTTATTGTAAAGATCAATCATGAAAATGTAGTTAACAGTGCTCTGCAAATTACTGACATGCTATATAAATTGTGTAGACACTTGGACAAGTATTTCCCTTTAATACAACTGTAAACCAAGGATGAACCTGCTACTTCCTCCACCTCCCCTTTTACTTACCAGATGATGAACAAAACATGCCAGTGCTGAGCACCAAGAAGGCTAACATCATTCGACTCACATGCAGCCCAAACTTCTTACACACAGCCCTAGAAGAAAGTGGAATTAGCACCGCGGGTTATTAGAAATGAACCATCCAAATCAAAGAAGGAAAACATGCCTGCAAAGGAAATAACACTGAAGATCTTATGTCAAATACAGAAACAGAACTGCCTTAATAGGTCTGTTAGCAATTTTATATGCATAAGAAATCCAAACATCCTTATCCCTGCCACAGGAGAGAGGCTCCCTAAGAGGAAATATATACTTTACATGACAAGATCATGTTTACTATCAGTGGAAGATAGCATGACATAGTGAAAAAGTAATAGGCCTCAGACGCGCATGAGTACCGGTTCAGATTCTGACTCTGCTGCGTATTAGCCGTGGGACTCTGGTCTAGTCACCCAATTTGCCAGATTCCTCGTCTGTAAAGTAAGAATAATAACTATGCCTACTCTTGGTAAGTTTCTGTGAAGACCATGCACGGAAAAGTGCTTAGGAGAGTACCTGGCACTAAGCTGCACAATAAACAGTGGCTGTCAGAAAAAAAGACTAGGAGGCACATGAAAATGGCAGGCGATTACCTCAGTCAGTGTTTTTGACACAGGCAATGATACACCAACTCCTTCTGCTACTTCTAGTTTTTTAACCCCAGAAATTAAACATTTTGAGATATAATTGCTTTGCATAGTCAATATTTGCTCAGACATACCTACGTGTTAGGTTTTCCTTGCTCAAATTCCTTATTGCATCTCAGAGCTTCCTTCTGAAATAAATTTGCCTCTTTCAAAGTATATCTTTTAGAAGTTCCTTTACCTGATTATGGTAAATTCTCAGATTTGGTATTAGTGTCTTTTTCTCTTTCTTTTACTAAAAAGTTTTTATGTACCTCCTGACAAAGATGGTTTAACTTAGTATTCAATTTTAAGATGACATTTTCTCTCGGCACTTTGAAGGCACTTTCTCTTTTTTCTGTTTTTTCTACTCTTCTGGCTCTTGAAGCGTCTTACGTCAGTCTAATATTCCATTCTAGGTATTCCTTTCGTTCTCTATCAACTATCAGGATCTTTTTCTTTGTCCCTGGTGTTTTACAGTTTCATTAATTTCTTTTTATACATGCAGGCTGGGATATGTTAGACTTACTGCATCTATGGATTACCACTTTTTTCCAACTAGTACTAGAAAATTCTCAGCTATTAATTCCCTGACAATTGTGTCCTTATTCTCTGTATCACCTTCTATAATTAAGTTAAATGTATATCAAAGCTTCAGTTCTGCTTTACATTTCATAACCTCTTCTGTATTTCCTTTTTTTTTTGGTCTCTCTGTACCATATTCTTATTTTCTTGAAATTAATCTTGTAGTTTTCCTGTTAGAAGTACTGTATATAACCTGCTATTTAAACTATCTGCTGATTTTTAAATATCAATATTATGTAAACATTATGGTTATTAAATACGATATACTAGGTAGTTTATGAAATCAATAATATTTAATATCTTCATTTCTAGAAGTTCTGATTATTTTTCAAATGCCTGGTCATTTTTTCTTTTGGTACCAGAAATTGAACTCAGGGCCTTGTGCTTGCCAGGCAGGCGCTGTGCCGCTGAGCTACATCCCCAGCCCCTAAATCTGTTTCTCTTTTTTGTTTGTTTGTTTTTTTTTCCAGTAACGGGAATCGAACTCACAACCTTGCGCTTGCCAGGCAGGCGCTGTGCCGCTGAGCTACATCCCCGGTCCTGCCTGATCATTTTTTGTACTCTCTCTCTTCTTCATGTTTTCAGTTCCATCTTCCACTTCTTTACAGATATTAAATATACTTATTTTATATTCTTATTTTAATAATTCCTAATAAATGAAGTTTTGCAGGTCAGCTTTTGTTGACTAATATTTCTACTGGCTCTCATAATACCTTGTTCCCTTCTTCACTAATTCCCCACTCAGTGACTGACATGTATAATCTCTCACTTACTAGAACTTTACATCTAGTAACTCTTTGGTATTTGGTTTCAGATTCCAGTTCGCTAGAGAAAATTTTACAAGTTCTTGGGGTACTACTAACCCATAGCAATTAAAAGTGTCTTCAACTTGGGGTTCAGGGGATCATGTGGGTGATTTGAAGTTAGGACCAAAAAATATATAGTTACAGCTGTCAAAGGCAACACTGGTTTTGTTTCCATTTCACCAGAGTCAGGACCAAAGTTGTTGTTGTTGCTTTTTTAATCTGACATGTTTAGCTGTGGGAAGGTATTTTTTTGGGAAGATGTTTTTGTTGTTGTTGTTGTTTGTTTTGTCTTGTTTTTTTGGTAATGGGAATCAAACTCAAGACCTTGTACTTGCCAGGCAGGCACTTGTACTGAGCCATATCCCCGGCCCCTGTAGGAAGATTTTTAATAATGATCACTAAGTCCAAAAACTCTTTTTACATTAATGTATTATTAATATGTTTATTAGGTGCCATATAAAAACAGATAGCTACTTTCATTACTGGAACAGTTAAAAGCCTAGTAGTTCCATTAATAATGAAACAACTAGACTATGTATGGTGGCATGTGCCTGTAATCCCAGCACTCTGGAGGCTGAGGCAGGAGGACTGCTGAGAGTTTGAAGCCAACCTGGACTACACCGTGAGTTCAACAACAGCCTGAATGACACAGCAAGACCCTGTCTCAAAACCATAGAGCTCATTTGTGAAAGACAGCGTATTGGATGTAAACAGGAGCAAAGAGTCTCATCAGCTAAGCTCTAAGAAGTAAATCATAACCCTGCACTGTATCTTAGGCTCCAAAATAAGGTTCTACTAAATCCTACTAAGTAAAGACCAGTTAGACATGTATTAACAGAATTAAAATTAATGATATGATATTTATGAACCTCAAGAAAGAAAACAAGTAGAATTATTCCTTCTTGATTATTTTTCTACAAGAATTGCACTTTACATCTAATACCAGGAGATAGCAGGAAAGTGTTTTCTATTTCTAACTGCTAATCTATCAGAGAAATGATCTATGGTATATTCAGTTTTTTCCTAGCACTTTTAGAGCTAACACTTTTATACTCACTTGTAAAAGTAAAGTTCACAAATACAGCTCACAAAAGCCAGAAGACATCGCAAAAAATAAAAGACAAGAATCTGAAAGAAATACAGAACAAGAAAATGTAAGTCACAGATACGAGCCCAAAAAATCTGTAAAGATGAAGCCATTCTCATTGGTCAACAATAAGTTGTACTATAAACTGGTATAAAAGCAGTATGTATCAAAATCATACAAAGTTTCATATCTCTAGGCTTAGTAAACCTAAGTAAACCTTTCTGTCACTCCAGGAGGAAGGAGCTGTGGGAAGAGCTCATGAAAATGTCAACTGCAGCCTTATTTACTTAGTAACAACTGTTTTAAAAACCACAAAATGCCTATTATATGCATATTGTAAAATAAATTATGCAATTACATGGACTATTACACAGATTTCTTTTTTCATTATGATACCAGGGACTTAAGTCAGGGCTTTCACACTAAGCTACATTCCCTGCCATTTGTTAAATTTTGAGACAGGATCTTGCTATGTCTAAGTCACTAAATTGCCCAAGCCAGGCTTGAATTTGAGATCCTCCTGCCTCAGTCTCCCAGAGTGCTGGGATTATACATATGTGCCACCAGATCTAGTGCTTAAAATATTATGGCTGCTTAAGAAATGCTTGTTAAAAAAATGATTATTTACAAAATACTGAGTGAAAATGCACAATACAGTATTATACATCAAACTCACAGCTCTAGGAACTGTACGCATATGAAAAGACTGGGAAGAAATATAGTAAGATGATAAAAGCTGTGACAGTCTGACTGGTTTTTCTTCCTAAGTATTTTTCCTATCTTTCACACTTCTATAATATGATGTTATTAATTTTATAATTAAGGATATCAATTTTAAAAATAGAAATAATAAGGGTTTTATTAAACAGTTTTTATACTACAAAATAGCATATGTTTCAGCATTGAATTAACCAGGTGTGGTGGCATATGCCTAAAACCCCAGGCCTTGGGAAGCTGAAGCAAGAAGATGGCAAGTTCTTAGCTACATAGTGAGTTCAAGACTGGCGTGGACCACGTGCAAGATCCTGTCTCAAAACAAACTAACTAACTAACAAAAAAGGATTAAATTCCACAGAATATAAGCACTATTTAAATACACAGCACAATTAACATATGTACATATAATCTGGAAATACTGCCTACTTCAACACTATAACCAACACAATCCCAAAATGAGTTCAATAAACTGATCACAGATTCATAATGAAAATCTATTATACAATGAGTGTGGTACTGTATAATGAGTACTATTCTGGATGATACAGGGAATACAGGTAACTTTAGATAAATATCTACCCTTAAGGACTCCTCATCTAATAAGACAGTACAAATAAACATTTAGAAAGCTGAAAATTAACATGAACTTATATAAAAATTGTATTGGGAATAGGACAACCATGTCCCCCATCTCTACTAATACTCAACAAAGTAACAGAAAGTTCCAGTCCATGTACAAAGATACAACAAAGAAATGAGGTATACAGAACAGAATGGAGGAAACTAAATGTATTGCTATGGTTTGAATAGGCGCTGTCCCCCAGAGGTTCATGTGCTGAAAGTGTCATCCCCAGTGGTGATGTCAAGACGATGAGCTTAGAAGGCGTGTGCCCTAATGGGAGGTAATTGGGTCACAAGGGCTCCGCTCCATGAATGGATGAGTGCTCCCTTAGGAACTGGGAGAGTCTCACAGGAGTGGTTTAGTTCCCTTAATTGTTATAAAGTGAGTACAACTGTCTCAGCCTGCCCTCCTGCACAAAACCCTTTATACATGTGGCAAATTCCCTTTCTGCTTCTCTGTCATATGAGGCAGCCAGAGAAACTGCCAGGATGCTGGCCACCAGGCTGTGTGCACCTGCCAGCCACCACAATCATGAACCATAAAACCTCTTTTCTTTATAAACTACCCAGTCTCTGGCATTTTGAAGTAAAGCAACAAAAAATGGACTAAAATATATGCAGATGACGAGAACCCCAGGGATTGAGCTGATAAACCACTGACACTACTAATAAGGAAAGGAAATTCAGTCATACATTCAATATTAAGACTTTTGAAGAATCCGTTTTGTTCTTCTATACCACTAAAAAAATAACAAAATCCAAGACAGTATTTACAATTAGAACAAAAACAACAAAAGATTGGGTGTAGTGGTGCATGCCTGTAATCCCAGCACTTGGGAGGCTGAGGCAGGAGGAACATTGTGAGTTTGAGACCAGTCTAGGCTACAAAGTCAGTTCAAGGCCAGCCTGAACTGCAGAGCGAGGTCCTGTCTCAAAAAGACCAAAAAAAAAAAAAAAAAATCTAGGCATTAATCTGTCAAAGACATAAGATTAAAATGGATATATTTTAAAATTTTATTAAAAAACGGAAAACCTAAGTTTTCATTTAGATAGATCTATCACTTCAGTTACATAAACGTAACACTGTAAAAGTATTAAATCTCATATTTAATATGTAAATTCAATGCAACTCTAATAAAAACCTAGCAGGATTTAGGTGTGGAAAAAACTAATTCTAAAATGATTTTTAAAACACAAATCTTAGAAAAGCAAGAAATTCACCCATCAGTTATTTACATTACAGAACTACAACAATCAAAACAATATGCTATTACTTGACAAAGACAACGTCAACGAATAAAGAAATAGAAACAGACCTATATACACATGTGAGTAAGATGTGATACAGAGACAGCTTTACAAATCAGAGGAAAAGGATAGGTTATTTAATGGATGGCGCTAGAAAATTCATTTCATCACACAGTAAAAAGTAAAGTTGGATCTTTTTGTATTTTATAAAAATAAACTTCAAGCCTCCTAAGTAAAAGGTAAAATTATAAAACTAACTGAAGAAAACACAGAAGAATATCTCTGTGATCCATAGTGAAAAAAAATTTTGTTTAAACAGATCCAAAACCCACCAACCATATGAGGAAAACCCACTGATTTGATTACATCACACTATACCAAAGTTAAGGGTTTCTGTTCAACAAAGGACCACAAAGTTAATAGAGATCTAGACAAGGGACATCCAATACAGCATCTAAAACCACGAAGGATTGCTCATAGCAACTTCTACTCATCAGAGGGGAAAAACCAGAAAATCCAATAAAAACAAGGACAAAGGATGTGATAGGTAAATCACAGAAAGGGAAATATGAACGATGAATAAATATATGAAGAAATGCTCCACCTCGCTAATAACCATAGAAATGTAGTCAAAATGAGAAGGATATCAAACATATGAGAAAGTCAGAAATACAAAGTGCTTAGGAGAGGTGAGAAAGCTGGAAATGTGAGCACTGCTGCACAGAATGTAGAGCTGTACATATAGAGAGCAAAGGGTCTATGTGTGAGACCTGAGTATACTGAAGCATAAAATCTGCACACATCCGCAAAGGGATAATACAAAGGTGTTCTAATTAGGCATAGAAAAAGTTGGGAAAGGCCAGGCAGAGTGACACATGCCTGTAATCCCAGCATTCTAGGAATTCAAGTCCAGCCTGGAAAACATTGAGACTTAAGATTCTGTCTAAAAATTTCTTAAAATTCAAGAGAATTGAGATGTAGCTCAGTTGGTTCAATTCCCAATACCTACCCCACCCCCAAAAGTAAGACTATACTGTCTCTCAGCAATAACCCAGTCTTCTCTACTCCTCAGCGTTATGATGGTGGGGCTGGGACTCCATAAGTACAACTCCCTTTAGCAGCTGGGTCTCTGCTGAACTTCACTAGCAGAATTAACAGGGAGAAGGAAATTGGATATAAGGAAAAGAGAAGGGAAGTCTTCCTCCTTGTTTTCTTTGTTGTTTACATCAGTGATACAACAATGTTACTGATGCAAGAGGAAGAATTATGTTTGGGACATGTCAAGTTTAAGGTGAGTACCTGGCGTTGTGGCACATGCCTGTAATCCCAGCACTCGGGAGGCTGAGGCAGGAGGATCGTTGTGAGTTCGAGGCCAACCTGGGCTACAAAGTGAGTTCAAGGCCAGCCTGAACTGCATAGTGAGACCTTGTCTCAAAAATACCAAAAAAAAAAAAAAAAAGTTTAAGATGAGTGTAAATAATCAGGTAGCAACAAAAACCCTCAGCACTGTATACTGTTAGTTCTCGATTGAGTGCTTCATTCTATATTGTCTTTCCTCTGATAAGTTCAAAGAACCAGAAATGAGACATTAGTTAGGGAAGGAAAAAACAGTGTTCTTTTACTTTCCACAAGTGCCTTTCTGATCATTCTAAAATGCAAATGCAAGTATGTGTCTTTTCTATCTAAAACCTTTGATGACTTCACAATATACTTGGGGGTCCGGGGGACAAGAATAATTCTTTAATAGATTCTACCAGGTCTTGAAGATATCTAGGATCTTTCTACCTCTCAGTCTCATCTAATCTACCCCATGACATTCTTTGAAGAACTGAACCTATTTATACAAGAAATTACTGCCTAGCTACTTAGGAAACTGAGAAAGGAGGATCATGAGTTCAAAGCCAGTCTGGGAAACTTAAGACTTTGTCTTTAAAAAATAATAATTAAAAAAGGCTTGGGGATATAGTTGAGTATGTGGCCCTGGGTTCAATCCTCACTACACCAAAAGAAAAAAAAAAAAAAAAAGAGGAGGAGGAGGAGGAAGAGAAAAATAAAAGGCCATCCTGGACTTCTTCCCAACCTCAGGACCTACCTTCAACCTAGATGTTAGGGGTTGTGTCTTGATATGCCCCCAAAGCCTCAGTCAGTCATAGCTGGGGCTTTTCAGAGGTAGGTGGATCTAGAGATCTAGAGTGTGTGATGCTGGGATTAAGGGTATGATGCTGGGATCAAGAGTGTGTGATTACTAAATTAGTGCACTAATTGGTTTGGCATAGTTCTAAGTAGAATTAAGGGTACCCCACCCTGGGTGTGAGTACTACCGCCCTAAGTCAGGTAGCCTGGATAAAATATAAGGGACAGAAAGATGGTCAGTGTGGTTGCTTGTTGCTTGCTGCTTCTTTGCTACTTTGCTGCCTTCTGCCCACCATGAACTGTTTCTCCTCTCTGATGCTCCTCTGCCGTGCTGCCTGACCTTGAAGCCAGCCAACTGTGGACTGAAACCTCTACAAACTGTGAGTCAAATGAACCTTCCCTCCTTTAACTTGGGTGTCAGGTATTTTGTCTCAGCAATAACAAAAGTAACTAATACAATGACTATTTCCAACTTCTTCCCTCATCCCCATTCTTCTCTTACCTAGACAACTCCTTCAGTTCTCTAATTAGGGATTTCTGCTTCAATGAAGATAGGCCTTTTCCCTAATCTTCCTGCTAAGTGCCACAAAAACTCTGAATATAAAAGGTGCTGGGCACAGTGGTACATACCCAATCCTAGAATTTGGGAGGCTGAGGCAGAAGAATAGCAAGTTCAAGATCAGCTTGAACAACATAGTGAAATTCTATCTCAAAAAAGGAAGAAGAAGGAGGAGGAGGAGGAGAGAAAGGAGGAGAAAGAAGAGGAAGAAGAAGAGGAAAAGGAAGAAGATGACGAGGAAGAGGAAGAGGAAGAGGAAGAAGAGGAAGAAGAAGAAGAAGAAGAAGAAGAAGAAGAAGAAGAAGAAGAAGAAGAAGAAGAAGAAGAACAAGAACAAGAACAAGAAGAAGAACAAGAACAAGAACAAGAACAAGAACAAGAACAAGAACAAGAAGAAGAACAAGAAGAACAAGGACGAGGACGAGGACGAGGACGAGAACGAGAACGAGAACAACAAGAACGAGAACAAGAAAGAACAAGAACTCCATGGGTCTTCTTTCTGCCTTGTAAATGCCAGACATAAAACTCAGAAGCTGACAACTGGAAATGCCAAAGAGCACAGACAAAAACACTCCAACCAAGGCATCTCTCTACCTCAACAAGGAAATGGACTGGACAGAGGAGAGAATCACTTCATTGGAGGACGGAATAGAAATTACTCATTGTGAACAACAGAAAGAAAACAGATCTTTAAAAAAGGACAATACAGTCTCATCAGGACTGCTACGGTTTGTGTCTGCATGTCCCCCCAAAGCCTCATGCAGTCATGGGGCAGGCTTCTAGAGTTTATGATTGATTCATGGTCCAACGGAGTTATGGGTGAGTGCTACACCTGCCCTGGGGCAGATAAAGAGGCTTGTTCTCTGCCACTCCTCCCTTTTTACTCTTGCTGTGTTTGCTGTTTTCCACTGCCATGAACTATTGCCCTCTGTCACGTGCACTTTGCCTTGGAGCCAGTTGAGTATAGACTGAAACCACAAACTGTGAGCTAAATAAATCTTCCCTTTCTTAACTCTGGGTGTCAGGTATTTTCTCCTTGTAATGTGAGAAAAGTAACTGAGACAAGGACTATTAAAAAGACAAAAATTAACATTTATGTCAATAGAGTACCAGGAAGAAAGGAGAAATGGCAAAACTAAAAAGAGTACACAAAACAGCAACAGTAAAAAAAATCCTCCAATTTTGCAAAAGACATAACCCTAAAGATTCAAGAAACTGAGCAAACTCCAAACAAGATAAACTAAAAAACTTCTACACTAAGACACACCCTGAAAACTAATCAGGTCAGGTCGTACTTAACTTTTCTGTTTTTGGTTCTATTTTAAGGTACTGGGATTTGACATAGGGCCTGGTACATGCTAAGGGAGCACTCTACCACTGAGCTACATCCCCAGACCCTTTTAAACTTTGAAACAGGGTCTTGATAAGTTGTCCAGGCTGGCCTCAAACTTGCCATCCTCCTTCCTGTGTTCCCAAGTACACAGCTGCTCCAGGCTGTTAGCTCTAAACATTCTTCAGCACACACAGCTTAAATTAGGATGTCCTAATAGTCTATACCACTGCCCGCTGTACTCCCTGCCACCTGCCAAAAGACTCACTGCATTTAAAATTACTTGTTCAGTGTCCATCTTCCCCACTAAACTTAAGTTCCATGAAGGTAGGGACTTGGTCATTGTTTATAGCTGGGTCACTTAACACAATGTTTACTAAATAAACGCTGCTCTATTAATGTCTATTGAATACTAAGTGGATAAATGGGCATCAGGTATACTATTATGAAAGCTATTTTTAGTGTGTGGAAGAATGTTTTTGGCATTGGTATTATACTTTTTTCAATATTTAACAAAATTAATCAGTGAAGCCATTTGTGAGTTGTACCAGAAATTTTTTGCTAGGGAATTTTTTTGTTGCTGTTTACTGTAATTTCAATTAGTCTAGTGGGTATAGTGCTCATCAGGTAATCTATGGTTTCTTTTTTTTGGCAGGGGGTACCAGGAATCGAACTCAGGACCTTGCACTTGCCAGGCAGGCACTTATGCCACTAAACTATAACCTTCGGCCCGGAATCTATGTTTTCTTGATGTGTTGATATTTAATTTTGAAAGAGCTGATATATTTAATCTAAAATTTTAAATTTATTGATAAATTAGTTCATAATATTTTTATTATTTACTTTGTAACATATTCTATAGTAATACTACTTTTCTCACTTCTTAAAATGATAATTTTTGTTTTAAAACTTTTTTGTGTCTGATCAGTCTGACAGAGTTTTATGAATTTCTCAGATGCCTTTTATTTATTTCAATGATTTTCTGTGTATTTATCTGGTTTCCATTATACTGATTTGTTCTTGGTTGACATGTAATGGGTATTTTTCTAAATTTTGTTTTTAGTCAGAAAAAAGATTCAATTTTGTCCTAGTTAAACAATGGGGAAACAAAAATTCAACCTATAAGGAAACATTTGTAAATTATATCCCACAATATATACAAGAAAGCTGTACATAAGACATGTAACAAAGCTAAATGTAAATATAAATAAAAAATAAATAAGCGAATAAATGATTCTTAGAAAAAGAAAAAAAGTACCCTCTTCACTGGGAATAATGGTCTGTGCCCATAGTCCAAGCTATTCAAGGGGGCCGAGGTGGGAGAATCACCTGAGCCCAGCAGTTTGAGACCAGCCTGGAGAACACAGTAAGACTCTGCCTCAAAAAAGAAAACAAACTCCCACGCTCCCAATCTGCTTTGTTCTCTTCTTGAAATTGTTCCAGAGACTTACTGCTTGCTCTGTTGTGACCATTCTCAGGTTAGCCTGTCCTTACCTTATTAGTTTGTAGAATTCTTGCATGAAATGCAGCTGGCCAGGCATGAAGCAACAGGTAAGCATAGGAGCGAATGGCATACACTGGGGAATATTCCCAAGTCTGAAAACCTTTCCCATAGATGAGGTAGTGTGTCTAAAAGAATAAACAAATGGATTTAGAGTTAAACTATCCATCAGGCATGGGGACACATGCCTGTCATCCCAACACTTGGGAGGCTGAGGCAGGAGAATCACTGTAGGTTGAAGACACTTGGGTTACATAACGAGTTCAAGGTCAGCCTGAACTACACAGTTGAGACCCTGTCTCAAAAACCCTAATAAATAAACTAACTTTCCAAAAACTCTCTTGTGAGGACACAGGTCAAGATTCTGGGTAAAAAAAAATAATGAGACAAAAATACACAATGATAAAAATTTCTCAACATTAACAACTAATAGATAAGAAAAGAAACAAAATGACTTGATATTAAAAAATTAAGATATTATACATTTTACAAGATAGTGTTTGGCCAATACTGAAACTTCAAATTCTACTCTCTCTTCACTCTTTTAAAGAGCACTGGCTGGACAAGGTAGCACACATCTGTTCTCCCACCTCTTGGGAAACTGAGGCAGGAGGATCACTGTGAGTTCAAGGCCAACCTAGGCTACACAGTTCAAGGCCAGCCTCAACTACGTAGCAAGGCCTTGTCTCAATAAATAAACAAACAAATAAATAGCGAGCCTTTAGCCAAAATAAAAAAACTCTAAATCTTATATACCCACACTAAGCATCATTTCTTCACTTTTTGATGCAAAATGTTATATGGGTAGCCAAGCATGGTGGCGCACGCCTATAATCCCAGCACTCAGGAGGCTGAGTCAGGAGGATCATCACAAGTTCGAGACCAGCCTGGGCTACAAAGTGAGCTCCAGGCCAATCTGAACTGCAAAGCAAGACCTTGTCTCAAAAACAGAGACCAAAATAAAAAAAATGTTCTATGAAAATTTTACTTCTGAATTCTAAATCAAGTCAAAATTCTAAATAAAAAATAACATTATAAGCATATTTTAGTTGCACTATTTTGATAAACATTGGGATAAATAAAGCACTGAAAGAAAGTGGGTGCTTCTGGGAATTAGAATTTAGACATGAGAAATACAACAAGGAGGTTTTTTTCCTTTGGGTTTTAAGGTAATTGTTAACTTTTAAAACTTTCCCCAAATAGTTTTAAATGATAATTACAAATCACACCTTTGACTAAACCAGCAAAATTTCCTACAGCCTTCAACAGTAAATAAATCAATAACTTTTAGGAATTAAAAGTGAAAACAGTTGCTGAACTACGGGCCACACTTGTATATTACTTGTATCTTGTCTGGTAGTAAGTCCCAACAGACAAAAGTCAAGAACAAAAACTAAAAGCTAAAATCACCTACTGGTTCCCAGTAGTTGAACGTTTCATCACAGTCGGAGATGTTGCTCAGAAGAGCAGCACATAACCTTGCTGAGAGCAGACACTTGAAAGCAGTAGATCCTTCAGGTGCCCAGACTTGTCCAGCTTTGTTTCCAGATAATCTGCTCAGAAGCAAAAAACAAATAAACAAACAAACAAACAAAAAAGCAGGTGTCAGGAAGGACCTGCTAACCAGAAAGAGAGAAAAGAAACAAATGCAGCGCTGAAGTCATTCCCTCAAAAAGGGGAACCGTCTGTTCGGAGTAGAATGAATAAGGACTTGAAGCACTCCTTCCACTTTTAAGGGGTAGGCTGATTCCTACGTTTTCCCTTGTTGCACCTGCAATACTGTATTTCAGGTCACGCAGTGACTCACTTGCAGGCCCGTGTTCTCACACTCCTTTACTCTCCTACACACGGTTATGACTTGCAAGGGCTGCACCCGTTTCCCCATCGGCTCACACGAGCAGCAGCCTGGCAGGTACACGATGCACAGCCCGCTCCAATTCCACGCGCGGACGGCTCCTCTCACGCAATCCTAGCCTGCGGTCCGCCCGCCTGGGGACAGGTGGCCGCCGGCCAGCGCTGGAGGGTGGGGCGCCGGCCCAGCGAAGTCCAGGGGGGACTTCTGGGGGGAGTAAAGGGAGCCGCTCTCGGCAGCGCCTCCCACACGGGCTCCGCAGACGCCGCGGCCAACCCCGCACCGCCGGCGCGCCGGGGCCTGGCCGGAGACATCACAGACCCGAGCGCCGGCCTTTCCCGGCGAGACCAGAGACCCTAACGCGGGGCCGAGGCTGAACCCCAACCCAGCCGCCCCGAAGACCAGGCCCGGCTAACACAGCGCCGGGGCCGCGGCGGGGACCCTCGCCCGGAGACAGCGACCCTCGGCCGCCCCGGCCCGGCCA